TTTTGACACAGTGAAATCAAACAAAAGTGAACAAGAATCACAGCTAATAAAAGGAATAAATCACAAGGCAAAAAAAACAATTCATAGACTTATAATCTGGTTCCAAGGAAGTTTTCTGTATCCACAGTGATAACTGAAAAATGAACAATTTAAATTCCTTGTCACACGAAGAATGAAACCCCTCAAGACTAAACTATGTCCTGACCACAAGGACGTGTGTCACTAAATTATATCAATGCACAAAATCACAACCCAACCATTGAGTCGATTTGAACTCAGTGACCTTACAGGGTAGAGTGGATCTGTCCCCTGTGGACTTTCATGAGTGCAAATTTTACCTGGGAAGAAAAGCTCACCTTTCTCACATCCATACAGAAAAAAAAGGGACCTGGAGATAAATAAAAGAACTGCTGGATTCTGTAATTAAGAAGATTAAAAAGGAAAAGGGAATTCTGAGTCTTCAGTGGACCTCTAATCTGGGCCTGCACTGTTCAAACAGCCACCAGGGGTGGTTGCGGGGTGCACAATATTCAAGGAAACTGGGTTGATAAGAAAAGCAGTATCTGCGGTGAGGTTTATTCATAGAAATATCTCCAAGTGGGATCCTGCACATCCCTAGGGAAAAGGTCCAGTATCAGCAGAAATTGGGAAACAAATCTCGGCAGCTACATTACAACTTAATTTCCGAGCGTCCCGATTTGCCAAGGGCTATGGAAGGCTGCTACGATTGGGAATAACTGATGGAAGTGAGTGAACTGATTCAGACCCGTGACAGCCTGCACCCCTTGGCAGGACCCCACACAGAGAAGCATTCTTGAATTCTCATCATTAACCAAGGGTGTAAGCAACCTTGCCAGGTGGAAGAGGGCTTTGGAAAAGGCATTACCTCCACCTCCCTCCAGCCAGCCCAGGATGGGGGTCACAGTCCGCAGCCCTTTTAGTTGTGTTCTCAATGCCATGGTCAGAAAGCCCTGGGCCAATCTTATAAGATCTTCTAACAATGTACTGCCCCAATCATGGTCCTGTTCCTGCTTCATGTAGTTCCAGGAGTAACGGTGATATATTGATCTACCGCCAATCAGGAATTTGAGTTTCCTTTGTTCCAAGCCTTATTTAACAAGATTCCGGAATTAAATACCCAAAAGCTATTTTGACTTGTGCTAACGGCCTCCCTCATCCATCTGACATTGTTAGGTAGCTAGCTAGCTAAGGGACTGGCAGGTTGTCCCTCCCATACCTGCAAAGGTCCCCATAAAAAGAAATCATGCATACCAATTGGACACCCAGGGGAAGACCCTACACTGAGCAGGCACAGAAACAAGCCCCTTAAACCCAAACAAATACCTTGGACACACCCACCTTTAGTACATCACAGGTGGGCCAAACTCAAGCCAATGGGGTCAACCAATACCTGCAACCACACTTCCCCAGCCAGGTGTTACAAGCAGGCTTTGGGAAAGCTGACTCTCTCTCTCTCTTGCTCTGGTCCTGTGGCAGGTTGGCGGGTGGGGGGCACAAATGCTGCCCTAGGCATGCACCTTCAGGGCCTGCTGGGGGCCCACATGTGCCTGGGCTCTTAGGCTCTTGCTCTCTGACCTCTCAGTCCCCCGGGATTCCCCAGTTCCACACCTTCGGGTGTTCTTTTCCACATGGTTTTCCATGCCCAGTGGTGAACCCCAGACCCCAGCGCAGTTTCTGTGCAGCCTGTCACTTTTTCCAGAAAGAGTGTATCCTTTTGAGAGTAAACCCTGGAACTTTTCCTGTCCTTCATAAAAACTCACTAGGATTACAAACGTGCTTTGGTGTGAATTCTTTCAGCATGGGAAGCAAAGTGAGGTATTACCCACTCCGGTAGCTTAACAATGTCTCTGTGTCTTTGTCTCTTTTAAGACTTAACACAAGTCCTCCTTACGTTATATTTGAGATTGGGGGCTTTTGCCCCCTCAAGTAGCGCACAAGCTCAGTTCTGATGGGCAGAGATCATTCAGGAAAGGACTCACAGTCAGGATCATAGTGGGCAAGACCAAGGGTGATGACTGCATGGCTGGCAGTAACGTAATAATGTGAGGAGCTTCCATTTGTTTGAAACTGCCTTCAACCAACCACGAGCAGCAGTTCTGCCTTCCCCTCCCTGCTGTCCTAACAGATCTACACTCTCCAGACACTGCCTGCC